ATATATACGTACGTATGTATGAATGTATGTATAACATATGACATATATAATACCATACAGTTTTGAGGTTTTTTCAATTTTTGTTTTTGAGTATATAAAGAGATAGTTGATTTCGGTTAATTGTTGTAGGAGCTTTTCTCACTTAGGCTATGCATAACTAGGTTAAACCATATTTACGGCGCCATCAGCCTCAAATGTGGGTATAGATATAATATCGCTGCTGCGTATGGCGCCCATTTGTAACGCTGGAGTTGATGGCTTCTTCGGCCTTTTTGCGCCCTCCTCGACCTCCTCTTCGTCCTCCTCGCTGGAGTCACTTGAGTCTGGCTCGCTGGAGCTATTGTTGATGTTCTGTTTCTGTTGTTTTTTCAGCTTTAGATCGACCGGTATATCCGTATTGCTTTCGAGTGTCGAGTGTTGGCTCGACGGCGAATGACTGTACTCGGAGGTGTTYTCCTCATCGGATACGATGACCACATTACGCTTGTGTATGGCAATCTTTTGTGAGAGCGGCGCCTTATAGCTACGTCTCGGCCGCATGCCACGTCCRATGGGCAGGCGTCCAATGCTATAAGGAATAGTGAGGGATAGAGAGAGGGAGTTAGATATGCTAAATATACGGTTTACGAAAATCAAATAGACTCACCTTCTTCTGCGCAACGCGTAATTATAGTCGGTATCCTCACCCTCCTCATCCGACCAGCTATCCTCGCCTTGAGGCTCCTGAGACGATTCACCATTAGCATTGCTGTGGATCGCTGTTGTGTTCTCTGGCAACTGCTGCTGCTGCTGTTGTTGCTGTTGTTGTTGTTGCTGTTGCCTTGCCTGTCTTCTGCCCTGTGTGCTGCTGCAGCGGCTCAGACAGGGACTGCTGGTTGCACCCATATCTCGCGGCTCCGGCGCCGTTGTCGTGTGTACGCTGCCACCGCTGCCGCCGTTGCCATTCTCTGTGGAATTCGACTGGATGGACAGGCGGTTCTCGTTAATGAACTCGCTGACTTTGCGGCCCAGACGCTCAAGATTCTCATTGTCGCTGTAGCAGTCAGAAATGTCCAGACGCTCGTTGCTGTTCATCACGTCGTCAATGAGCTGATCRGGACTGGAGCATGCATCCTGATAGGTCAGCTCGCTGTTGCTCAGCGAGTTACCATTGGATGGACTGGCAGCATTTGCTGGTGAGCTATCGGTTGCTGCTGGTAGGCTGCTACCGAGCACCTTGGCTTGCGCCATGGCCGTGGCCAGCTGCTGGATGCGTTGAAGTTGCAACGGCAGCTGACGATGAATGGGTGGCGGCTGGGGCACTTCAGCTGGCTGCTCAACGCACGGACTAATGTCCGTCTCGCTGACATCCATGGCATCCGTTTGAGTTTGCCGCTCGACCAGCTGAACCTTGCGGTTTTCCGGCTCGCTTTGATAGCGACGATCGCGCGTCGGACTGTATTTGGGCGGTGCGGCAAAGGAGCCCGAGCCATTGCGTCGATGACGCCAAGTCTTCTTGTTTTTGTTGGAAATATTGGGGCCGACAAGAATGCTGGTGCCGACAGCACAATAGGATTTCGGCTGGCTATCGCCATCCAGTTGCGCATAGAGCACACATTTCACGGGACTCTGAGGAATGGAAGAGACGAATAAGGAATAAGSAAAATCAATATGCTATAAAGACTTACCTCTGGCGTGGTCTCGGGATCAGGCGTTGAGGATTGCTGTTGTTGAATTGGTTGTGCCGGTGGCGCATTCAGTCGTCGTCGATAATGTTGCATTTTCCTGAGAGTGTTGCCCAAACGTCGCGTGGGCTTATAGCCTGAGCCGGGCAGCTTACGTTCCCGCCTATAAAATTGAGTGATTATTAATTGGAAATTCGCATTGGATGGGCAACTCATGCACTTACTCGGCAATCTCTTTCTCTTTCTCCTGCAGCTGTGTCATGCACTCGCTCAGCTCGAAGAACAGCTGATTTGTCTTTTGCAGCTTGTCCTCGTAGACCATGCGTATGTCCTGCGCATGTCGCCATTCGGCGGTGCGTCGCCTGATCAGATCCTGCTCATACTTGTGTATGCTGGTGCCGTTCTGAGTGATCTCCTTGAGATGGGAGCGCACCTCCTCCTTCCACGACTTTTGCGTCTCGAAATATTGCTTTTCACTTTTGCGCAACAGCTCCGGCCCGGCTATGTCCAGATGGCTGAGTATTTGCCGGAATGAGGGGCGATTGCGCGGCTTGCTCTTCCAGCAGAGCTTGACGAGCAGCTTGAAACCCTCAGGACAGGTGCTGGGCACCAGCAGCTTCAGCGAATTGTTGCCCACGCCCCAAATAATGGCCGATGAGTCGACATCCTTGTACGGTATTTCACAGGTGAGCATTTCCCAGAGCACGACACCGTACGACCAAATATCGACCTTCTCAGAGCAGGGTTCATTTCGAATAACCTCGGGCGCCATCCAGGCAACGGTGCCCGCGAAGCTCATCTTCGTGCTAATCTCATTCCACTCGCGACTGGTGCCAAAGTCGCTGATCTTCACCACTTCATTTGTACTAATCAGTATGCTGAAAGGATTAAAGAGCCATAAAGGGTTTTCAAGAGACTTCCTTCCCTCCTTGCAACTCACTTGGGACTCTTTAGATCTCTGTGTATGATCTTATGTGAGTGCAAATATTGCATGCCCAACGCAATTTGTTTGGACCAAGAGACCAAACGGGACGGCAACATGACCTGCTCCTCCTTCAATATGTCCTGCAGCGGGCCATACGGACAATACTCCATGATGATGCAAAAGACAGGGGACTGCGTTGAAACGCCTCTGTGGAAGGAAAAGATATGTTAATCAGATCATGAATGGATAATTTTTTACTGCTACTCACTTGAATTTGATAATGTTCTCATGATCCAGCTTGCGCAAGTGCTTGATGTCTGTCTCCTTCAGCTCCTTTACCTTCTTGACAGCCACAATTTCATTGTTCAGYTTGCCGCTGAAGACGGCACCCTGCGCACCACTGCCCAACCAGTCCAGATCCGTGATGGACTCAAAGGGTATTTCCCAGTTTTCGCTRCGCTGGTTCTTCACCTCGATGACGCCCGCCTTGCCAATGAAGGACAACACGGGCTTCATGCAACCCAGCAAGCCGTACATCCAGCTAATCGGCTTATCCGGATGACCGAAAGCGCTGGCCAATCCACCACCTCCCGCATGTGGTGGCCAGCGTTGCTGGCACGTGTTCTCGGCACTGCTGTCCGTAATCTCCGCATAGTTGTTGTGATGCTGCGGCGCAGCTGAATCGATGTCCGTCGACTTGAAGGGCAGATCTGTGGCAGCAAGTCCTAGGTGTCCAAATTCATCCTGCAGGCAGACCACACTAATGAGAGCAGAGAAGAGAATGATTGTTAGATGTCTTTTTTATACATTTTTGTTTTCTTGTGATAAGGATTTTCTCAATAATTTAAGAGTCTGTGGATGGTACCTATGAATCCTGTCTAATGTCATAATTAATTAATTTATTTATTTCATAAATATATTTTGATTTGATGCTAAATAAATTTGTGTAAATCTATCATTAAAAATTTTAAACCATAAACTGATTATCAATTGAAATTCAGTCGCAGAAATAATCGTTTATCGATAAAAATTAAAGCTTATTTTAGTAAGCTTCGATTCGCAATT